ACTTGTTGGTCCCTTGTCCCTGGATTTGTTAACACCACTGCCTTTCCCTCACCTTCCCCTCTTCCATGTCCCTCTGGAATTGTCGGTCCTGTTATTTTCTCCTGCAGACTGTCTATCTCGCCTATCTTATCTAGATAGACCTGCAGAGACAATAATATGCACAAAAACAAGACAGAGCAAAACAAAACAACAACAACAAAATAATGACACACAAAAAGAAAAGCCTGTGAATAGTTCAAGATCTATCTTTTGACTCCCAGGAGCACTTTCCGGTCAAGTCTGATGGGGAGTCAAGCCCTGGCTCCAAAGTCTATTTTTGGTATTCCCTGGGGACTTACTTCCCTGCTCCGCTCCCCTGCTCCCCCACTGCCCTGCTGCACAACCTCAGCACTTCCCCTCTGTGTGGTGGGGTCAGATCAGGCGCAATTCCACACTGTGCCTCCAGTGTTGTCCTCTGTAGGGCTATGGGTCAGTGAGGGATGTCATGTCTCCTAGTGGGCCCGGCCATATGGTCATCTCTGTGGATTGGCTGCTCTGAGCGGGGAATATCATCCTCAAGGATTGGTGGGCCAGGATGTGCTTCACTCTCTCTTCCTCCCCCTTCATTTGCTCCTGTGTGCTCTGATCAGACAAGTCCCTCTCCCTGAGCTGTAGCTTCAGTGGTGTCCTCTGAAGCGAATTCTTCTGCAGGGAGAGGCGGTTGTCCACGTAGTTGGGATTGGGGCCGGCCCCTCAGACCTCTGTACTGGTTCCCTGCTTCATGCCCGTATGTTGCATTCACATCTTGGAGCTCTGGATTGAAGTCTGGTCCCTCTTTCCCTGTGGAGATATAAACAACACCCTCCCCTTGAGTGGGTTAGTGCCCTGTTCCCTGGTTACCCTTTTTTTTTCTTTCCCCCCCCTCATTTTCAGTTGACTACCATATGCATGACACACATTTTTTTAATTTAAAAATTTTTTGACACACATTTTTATAAAGCTGTTGCTGGATACCCTAACTGCAAGAATAGAGGTTCAAATCCACCAGCTGCTCCATGGGAGAAAGATGAGGCTGTCTATTCCCATAAAAAAGTATAGCCTTGGAAACCCCATCGGGGCACTATGCATTGCCATGGACTCAGTGGCAGTGGGTTTTGGCACTAGATAGTAGAGGCAGAGTCCTGAGATGCTCCGTTCCTTGTCATTTTAGTTATTTGGGTTCACAACGTTTATTGAAAATCAAAGAATAGAAAAACTTTACATGAAATATCTTCATTTTCACTTCCATATGTTGCCATACACAAAATGGAAATATGATCCCTTTTGCTAAGCCTATAGGATTTTGAAATATTGAAGTGTTGTGGAGGGAGGTAGATGCTAGCAGGCATCTACCCTGAGGGCAATCAGTTGCCAAACTGCACTAGGCCTGCTCCCTGCTGCTGGGGACAATGGACAGGCTCCTATAGGTGGAGTCTACACCCTACTGATAATGGTCCCTATGGAGACCCAGAGACCAGGTCAAAGTTAAGCTGCCATCCTAAATCTAGGATCCGCCCATCTTGTCACATGTATACCCCCAATTCCTCCTCTTCCTATTGCGTGTATGTCCCTAGACCACCACCTCCCATTGCTGGATAACCTATAGTGCAACCCCTTCCTGTGAGGAATGTCTTTACCTGTAATTGGTGGGCTTGCATGCCCAAAAGGTATTTAGGTGTGGGTCAGCAATAGAGAGCTCTCGCTCTGGCCTCTCTCTCTGGTCGCTCCCCTCTCTTCCCCCTCTCCTCTCCTGTCTTCCCTCCCTTGTTCCCTTTCCTGTTCCCCTTCCCTTCCCCCTCTCTCCACGTGGACCATCAAGCTAGGCTGAGGTAAAATGTGTCTGATTCCATTTATTTCTCTATATCGCTTTTATCGCTCATGCTTTCTATAACTTTATTATAATCTTTACTTAATATCGCTGTACAATTGCACCTACCAGACCTGTGATGTTTGTGGGGAACCCCTCTCCCCTTCACCCCACAAAGTGTTTAGCAACATTTGAAAATTATCTATAGAATTCTAAGCAACAAAACAGTTCAACCGAACTATATAAACTAAACTATAATTTATATATAATTAAATTATATATAAACTATATAAATTATAGACTGTCTCAGCTGTGCTTTGAATTCAAGTCCTTAAATGTCAAAATCAGTTGTGGGAAATATCAGCTACTAAGCTTGCCTAAGATAAAGGGATGTGCATCTAGCAATGGTAATCTACACAGCCCATTTAGTAATTCCAAATCTGATTTCAAGTAGGCACCTACTCTTTATTCCAAAACTGCCCCAAAGAAATCCAAGCAAACCTTATTGTCTCCTAATAGATTCCGACCCTTAGACACTGTGGTGGTTAGATTTTATGTCAAGCTGATGGTACCTGTGTGGAGGTAGGAGTGGAGTGCAACCTGCCAATCAGGTTGTAACCTCCTTAGGGGTGTCACCTTTGTAAGAGAGACCCTGAGAACCTCTCTCTTGGCCCTTACCTTCCTCCTTACTTGGACTCTGCCTCCAGGGTGACTGCCTGTGGGCCACTAACCCTGGGAGTTAGTGACGCTTTGCCGTGCTCCCACAGACTTTTGATCCACGTGACTCTGCACTCATCAGTCTGTGATATCCCTGCTTCCTAACTCACTTTTTTGCATTCTCAGCCTGCAGCCCCATGAGGCTGAAGTGGACCCCAGCCAGCATCCCACCCAGGATGTGAGTTGGACTGAGTAGAGATGCCTTCTTAATATAAAGTCACTTCTC